CCAGACCGTTTTCCGACCTTATTCCTGCACAAATGGTACCATAGGGGGCGTCGAATTCAAACCATGTGCAAATCTCCGAAACCATACAGTGCCTTTAATAGTTGAGAGCTCCTCGTCCTGATCGCAGTTACACATGCATTGGAAAATGAAGATCAATTTCGAGAAGTAAAAAGGAATGAAACTTGTCTGAAGAATAAGCTTGCATAGGAACAAGAATGACTAAGCTTCCCTCCTGAAGTCCCACTACGGTAGTGGCGTTGCGTAAAGGGCTAAGCCTTTGGGCGTTAACCAATCCCCCCTGAGTGACCGATCCCCGCTTCCGACTTCCGTTCAGAATCGTAGTGGCGTATAATGTGTATAAGGCAGGATCCGAGCTTGGAACCCGTGACCATGCTTGTGTGGTAGTGCGCCATTTGCCACTCTACTATCTCTGTGAAGCGTGTGGTAGTACACTGCCGTGCAAAAGGTATTTTTGAACACTGGGAATGTTGAGAAGGATGGACATGGTTAGCAAAATAATGCGATGTGAGTGAAATAACCTGATTGATAAATGGAGACTTGTGAAAGAGTTCTGTGCTGAGTTGTGTAATCTTCAATTTACAAAGAACTCCCACCGTTTTTCCACTCAACCTTTTCACAACCTTCTCATTCATTTCTTTCTTTCCTGATGCCTGTCACGTAAAGGATGGAACACTAGGTCCTTCATTTCCTGCAAAATTCCAAAATGTGGCCATTTCGCTCTGTTTGGTATAAAATCACTTCAGCTGCCATACTAATGAACCCATTTGCGAATATGGGAAGCAGTATGGGCTAAATCAGCAATGAGGATTCAGCTGCCCTCTTTGTTAACGCTTAGTTTTACGCCACAAGTGCATTTCAATATCAACACAAAAACGATGCGTGGTGAGAGGATCAAGGATCTACAGACCCTCAGGAAGCCAGAAAGGGAGAGTGGGAGACTGCTGTGACCGGATCCAACCATTGGGAAGGTTCTCATCGTTCACCCAAACAATGTAATAAAAAAATCGCATGAAAGAGCTTCGGTAAAAATCCTACTATTTCAAAGTACGTGAGTAGTTTTTTCACGAGAGCTCAACTCAATGTGTTTGTCCTCTATTGAATCGCAATATTTGCCAGAAGTTTCATTCATTCACCCATATTTGTTTCCATTGTCTTGCATGATTAACGCACCAATCATTCCCTATAAATAGTACCCGCTTGTAAGCAATCATCAGAAGCTCATCAGCTTTGAAAATGTTCTTCTACTTCCTTTGCGCTCTTCTACTGCTCAACGCTTTCTCAACTGAGGCAGAGGTTAGTAATGATTCCACTTATGTATAGCATTTAAGGACTTGAGTGTCAAAAAGCTCTCCAAAAATACGAAGATTCTACGTTTGCAAGACATTTTTTGAGCTCCAACTAGTTCTCAATGAATCACATCTTCCAGCCCAAACGTTCCATTTCAGGAATGCGCGGACAAGTCGGTTAATACTAGAGCAGGGGCGAGATTCTGCGAATTCATGGCATCTAAGAACCCAGAAGGGAAGGTACTCTGCACAGCCGAAGGCTATGAGGAAGTTGCTAAAGAGTACTGTGCAAAAACATGCAACCTTTGTTAAGGGTAACATGACAAAGGCTTCGGTTTGAATGAATAAATATCTTTGAAAAATCTGCCTTCATTCCATTTTTTTGTTATCTCAGGTCATTTTATTTCTCATCAACCAATAAGTAAAGCACAATGATAACAAAAAAGGCCTTCTGGCAAAAACTAGGGTCACCATTGGTTCATATCAGTTCGGAAAAAGAAGTATAATACTTATACTTGCTCAATTATGGATGGTTTACCCCAGAAGATGTGATATGAATAGTGCCGGGTTCAAAACACTTCTTTAAGCATACTTCTGTCCTCGAGCTGTGGGCCATACACTATACTAGCTCTCAAATCAGAAATTCAAGAGAAGCGAAGGTTGTCGTCTCTGAGGGCCACTTAAAATTACAAATTACACGTGAAAATAAGATTTTAGAAGACAGCTGTATCAGTTTTTTTTTGTGAAAATCGTCTTGTTCACAGAAAGTTTTTCTTCATTGCGAGGGCTATGTAAAGGTTGTGTACTGACAGGATAACCATTACCGGTGGAAAAGGCTAAATGATATGAGAAATTAATTTATACAATAAAGATTTTTAGAAAAAAATGATGTAGAATTAGAACAGCATCATGCGTATGCCTCATGGAAAGCACCAAGCGTCTATAGATTCTAGAAATCACAAGAATGAGAGAGTAATAATGTGCAGGTGCAGGAGGATTTCGTTAGATTTTGATGAAGCAATGCTCCCATCACCTTCTTATTATCCGGGCCTTTTTTCATATCAAATATGATCAGAAAAATTTGTTTTTCTGGTAACATTCCCCAAATACCGTTATAGACCGATTAACGCGGGTAATTTGGTGCTTAATTGAGGCCTTCCGCGCCCATTAAGTCTAATACCGTTGAGCTTTTCCTATACAATCGTACCTATTCGGTTCCATCTGTTTGTCTATAGGCTATAAAGAGTACTCAATATTATGTATCTGAATTTTGGGCGGAGATGGTGTACCGGCAAGTGGCGCACTACATCACACGCACGGTCAGGGGTTCGAGTCCCGAATCGATGCCTGCCTAGACCTACCAAGACTTCCATCCCTCCGAGGTTGGTGAGTTGGTACCAGACTCGTCTGGGAGGATAAAAGCACTGACTTGTACATCGGCTGGCCACCCTAAGTCATTGTATAAGGCACATACGCACTCATTACGCCACTACGATTCTGAATGGATTGGTTAACGCCAGAAACTTTATTCTTTCATCGGAAGTTTAGCACCTGTCTATTAGGTTGTTTACTACGGTAGCTAAAAATAGAGAAGAAGAGCTCCATAAAATTATATAAATGGAGTATGAGGATGTTCGTGAATTTGAGGGTTATAATACCAAGAAAGCATTCAATGAAGTCTCACAAGGATGGCGATTCAACTAATCAATGAAGGTTTTTTGATCCGCAGTTCTGATACTATAAAAATGGTTTTCTGTAAATGGTAGCGCTTTTGGAAAGAGAGAAGCATTTTCTGTTTCCACTAACAACTATGAAAGTTTTTTCGCGGTAGTTGATTAATTAAAAAATTTAAAATAAAGCAGAGCATGGAGAATTTCTAATCTATTGGGTTTAAAACAGATGCACACGTGAAGATTTCGAAAGTCTACTTACTGTCTCTGCAGATGCAATAAGAAATCTCTTCCCATGGTCTTTTCACAATTCTACGGTGAATTTAATCAACTCGAAAAGAAGTTAGCTTTTTTAGACATTCGAAAATCTCTAACTTAGCCGAATTCTTGATTAAGAAATTTATAATAACAGTATATATTTCCATGGTTGATAATTCTTTCGTAGCACGACGTGAGAGTAATTTTGATGTTTTATTTGAACGGTTTCTTCCCGAGTTATTCCCACACAGGAGGCGTTTATCAAGACTGAGAAAGGCAAGCAACGTAATCATTGCCATTGCTTCTGGAGAATTGCTGAGTAGCTCATCCATGCGGTTGCACCGACAGTGTTTATCTGTAAAGATGAAGGCCAAATAATGGCACATTGAGACTAAAATTTGGAATAAATCACATACTGAATGCAAACTTTCAAATCACTCACATTTATGTTCTCTTTGATGTTTTTGGTCCGTTGGCTCTTCACTTTCCTCATATAAAATACTGATAGTACAGGTAATATCAATGTATAGTAATTGAACAACTTAAAAATGCGAAAATTACAGAACATTACGATGGGGAAGCAAACCTTTTTCTGATTTTTCTGACCTTGTATTGTTTTTTCGAGAGTGAAAGGCTCATTTTCCAATCTCAAACAGCACGGTAGTATTTTAACGAAATGCATGGAGGTAGTGGTGGGAGTGGCAAATGCCGTACAGAACTTCGCCCAAGTCAACTAGGCCTACTATCCCTACAGGGTAGAATAATTCCTATTAGACCTGTCTGGGAGGTGAAACCACTGACTTGTACATAATCCGTCCACTGCAGGACATGCACTAACAATCCGCCACTACGATTCTGTGTTGATGTGAAATGTGGAACCCATCCTTGGATGAAGTTTATTAACGTTCGAAGACTTTTTTCATTACTTCTGAATCCACAAAGCTACTGAATCTAAAAGCTACTGAATCTTCGATGTTATTCCAGTGAAAACATTTTGAAAGGATGAAAGGATTTTTAGGAAGGTATTGCAGCTTTGAATCAGTCAACTTACATCCAAATTCTCCTTGTAGGCCGTTACCAAAGGATTTCCGGATTCGTAGATTCTCAGATATAAAATCGAAGCATGTGAAAAAAATAATGCCGCGAATTGACAAGAGGATATCATGAAAAGGTAGTTTGATACAATCGAATTTTCCATGGCTTTGAACTTTGATGATAACGACATACTGCAAGAACATTAGCTAGAATTTCTATTACAACTTTACAGCCAATAAGAGTTACAGGAAGCAAGTATGTGATACTTGGACCAGGTCACTTATTAGACTCACGGGCCAACTCGAATATCATGACCAAGTGGCTCCTACACATGTGGAAATCAAATTCACAAGGTCCCTATAGCTTGGCAACGTTCGATAGACACTGGAGAGAGGTGGGATATGACGACCTCGAAAGAACCTTTATTCAAAATCCGATCCCTAGACAAAAGCACGGAAGGCTATCCGTTTGACGCTCCACCACCTGTGCCTCGTGGGCGGCGGTATTCACGATTCCCACGGCAATATTCACCGTAATTTTCCACTATAAATTTAAATGTCTTGCCAAATGAAGCGAGCGCCTCATGTCATTCAGGTAGAAAACCCCACGCCCACGCACTCCACTCTACGTATAACACACGTGGGCAATCATGTAATGAATTTTCTGCTCACAATGAAGCGACTCACCTTATTTTCCGCTTTGGGCCCAAATAACGCAGCGCCAATGTCATGATGAGACCAACGAGATTCATCACAAGCAAAAACATCAGCACTATGTTTGTTCGGACTATATCCTTGATAGAAAACCATCGGGCATTCAAATGAGGTCCGTTGAAGTTTTCGCCGTAATACATTACAAGTAGAATACAGGTGGTAGTCATCATCTGAGATAAATCTGCCGTAACATTGTATACAGTAGTCACAAACGAGAATGTGATGACAAATGTTGCATGGAAGGAAGTACTCGGACGAGTAATGCAAATGTGTGTGCTATTGCGTACGGCTGTCTACAGGAAGCTACCTGTGTGAAACGTGTGCGTCCCTGACGAATGATACAATTGCAACTCTACAGCCTCTACAACGTCGTGCAAACTCGTCCGACTTGGGTGTACGTCGGTTAAGCCTCAGCTGACATCTATCTAAGCAGTTTTTCGCCCAACAGTGTCTCTTGTTCTGCCCTTAGAAGTACGTCCTGGGGGAAAATTTGAAACCGTTCCTTTTGAAAGCTGTGCATCAAAAAAAAAAAGAATTTTTGTGAAAAGTAGACAAATAGCGTAATTGCTTGATTTTTCGTTCCAGTGCAATAACAAAAGATAATGGTGATAAAATGGGAAATGAATTGCCGGTGCTCAGACATTGACTTATTTCCTTTTGAAACTGCTTACCGCTGTTGCAATTAATGCTGGCCCAAGTCTGCGATAGCTTGATTCTTGGTAGTCGGCAGATATGATAGCGATCCATCTCTCAGTAGCTATAGAAAGTTGCATACACTGGGAAGCAACGAGTACGAAAATTGTTGGTAAATGTAAGGCAATATAGAGTGCTTTAGGTAGGAATATGTCGCATGGATCTTGATACAGGAATGACCATGCAAAATGATGTGTCTGAAAAGATTAGCTCATATAAGAACTACTGGCCCCATAAAACGCTTTGCAGATGTGGAATAGCTGTTTAACTCTGTCTACTGCAGAACCTCACTCTTTCACATCAGACTTTCTCATATGTTTAACCAAGCAAGTCCCTTCATGGGGGTATTACGGTATAACGTTGCTTTACTGCAACAATTCAAAACAATTACCATATGATCAAGAAAAAAACAAGCAGTGTTTATAGTTGAACACCTAGTTATCTTACCCTCAATCACGCCCCCCCCACCTCCCTATCAACATCATTCGAATTCATTTTTCGCCTTATCCCTTAAGGAGTCGGTTGAAACTTTTTATCTATGGTACAGGTGGATTGCTTCAAGCGGGGAGCATTGAGCATTCCTAAGCTCCTAAGTGATTTCTATAGCATCCCTCTGAGGCTGAACAAGTTAGGGAAGCTAACAGAACCCGTGACCTTCGAGATTTATACTGTACAGTGGTTTCCTTCAAAATAGCTGACTAAAATGACTTTCTAAAATTCGCTGTACCTTCATAATGATATTCATAAAGTCATACATGGTACAACAAAGGCACATTGAGAAGAAGAGCATCTGAAACACGGAACCTAAGCAATATTGCTCTTTCTGACAGTTTTTTTTTTGAATTTCAAAGAAAAAATTTCAAAAGAACCCCTTAGTTGAAAAAGTTAACGAGAACAATTAAACACCTACAAGCTGTCAGCTTTGAATGTAAACAATAAACATCAAAGTAAGAGTTAAATGCAAACCCTCAAGTTGGGATGGAAGAAAGCACTGTAACTGGAACGATTCTGTAGGAAATATAACATATGGACCACAGATATCAATGATGCGATGAGCGAAAATAGCAATGATAAACGATAATACCATCCGGTTGCAGCAACGACACCATACTGAACTTACAGAAAGTCTCATCACTGCCATATAAGCTTAGTCTGAGGGAATATATGACATCACACTTATATGGAAAATGAAGGTAAGTGTTGGCAATATACAATCCCGTTTTTGGAGTAAGCCCCGAGAAGTTCTTTTGGGCTTCAAAAAATTGCTTACCTCAACACAATACTGCAATGGCAACTCTTCTTCTACTCCATTGGATGCCATTCTTCTGAACACCCTGGAAAAGGCTTTGTCTTCATTTTTAAGAGTTGCTGTTAATTGAAATATCGGAACGACATGACATGTACGCCTACGACTAATACGCCAGACTTTGTTATGAGGAGAAAAATTTTGTAGCTATCAAAATTTTGAGAATTTCGTCAAAAGTACCAGGTCTTCCAGTATGTGAGTAACTGACGACGATTCCGTCAGATCCAGATCCCTCCCGTAAAATTCTGGAGGCTTCCGTGGGATTTTATTAGGACTATCTATTGGGTTGTAACATAAGTTCGTAGAGTTTTGTGTTAGGGTCATTTTACAACGATTCGCTTTGTTTTTTGCTAAAATAAATCTCTGCGAAAAAACTCTACGAACTTATGTTACAACCCAATATATCTACCCACTGTATACCCATAACATATCCAACATCCTGGTCCCTACCTTTGTTAACCATATGGATGCTGTACCTCAATCCTTCTTTATCGGTACTTCATGCCTAGTTCGAATCTGGCTCCTGTGCTGAAACCCTTTGAGACTTGTGCCGAAAATTCGTCCTTCAAAATCCACCTAGATGATTCTGTGCACGCCTACTTCCATAGCTTCAATGCCGGAAACAGTATTTCGGTATAAGAACTTCGATATGGTGATCTGACTGTGGCATCATACCGATTCCGAATAGATTACGCGCATGCATCTCAGAAGTGCCCTTTCATAGTATGGATATAAAGCAGCCAAAAAATCTTATCAGAAATCATAACTCTCGGAAGGTTTTCAATTAAGTTGAATCTTCCGAGCGACCCTCTAAAGTGTACAGTTGACATGCATAGTAAGAGAAGCGATTTAATCGAAGAAGGAGTTCCTACGATAAAGAGGGTTATGACCACGGATCGTCCCTTTGTTGTTCAATCATTAGGTACCAGAAAAAAACGAATAGCAGTAATTCGCGTGCTGTGGATAGTGTGAAGATGGGAGGAGTTTGATAGTGTTTTGTTTAGTCCATCGGATCCAAAGGAAATTACAGCTTTCCTCATGGAAAAACTCTGTTATCAGTTGTTGTGTAGGGCCGCCACTTTTTCAGGAGGCAAACAAAGAGAAACTGAAGGAATGCGGAACTAGAAGCTATGATGTCAGTGCTTTCCACTCAAGCTACATAATGAGGTTTTTCTTTCGAGAAGGGAAGGCATATGTGTACATATGTTTCAGCAGGTTGTCCTGCATTCTGCAGTTTGTTTCAGGCTTACCTCGATCTAATGCAAGCCTTGACATAGCACGTCTTTCAAGCTGGAGAGCCTAACTTGGGCTGAAGCTGTGGGGTACGTAAATATATACGTATATGAAGGATGATTTCTTACCAGAGTGTCGCGGATTTGTTTTCCTTACACTCATAATCCCTTTGTGATTTGGTTCTCGAGCGATGGTTATCAAGGGTAGGATCTTCGGCGTCACTTTATTCCTGCTGAGAGATCTGGGGCGCATTCGACTTCCTTTCAGAATCGTAGTAGCGTTTTGAAGTTTGAATGCGCATGCAACCTATACAATGAATGACTTGCGGTGGCCAGCGATGTACAGTTTTTTTTATCCTCCCAGACGAAGCTGGCACAAATCAACCGACCCAGGAGGACTGGAAGGCTTTATTGGGCTAAGCAGATATTGGTCCACTACCTGCTCGCAGCAGGCATGTACGATAGCCGCTACACCACATTCATCCTTAAGTAATGAAAATGGCAAATAATCGTTCTAGCAGTTGATACGAGCTGGGCCAAGTCATGTTTGAAAAGATAGTGGGCTTGGAGAGGGATGGTATTTGTCTGCGGCACATTTTTAGTCGACTTCTCATCAATTATCGGCACTTTCTTGGGAATTCTTTCAAGTGGATATCTGTTTCGAGGACAAGATTGATGCGTGAAATTCTGAGTGTAGGTGAAAGTGAAAATTAGTTTTTCTTCTCATTAGTATACCCGTTCTTGATATCTGGCACATTATTTTCACTCAAATTCAGTTCTATGACAATTTGTGTTCATCAAGTGTTGCAGAGACTTGATTTTTGAGCTGTGCCTTCTTGGCAGCATGAAAAACTGATTTTTGAATTCGCAACGTCTGATTTTACAATTTTCCAGTTGACTCTCACTGCTGAATATGCTGTTCGTGATTTTGCGAGTTTTGATTTTCTATGTAACGAATATGCTAATTTCGCCAACGAAAATTTCTAAATCTATGAACGTGGTACTTTAGTTGTGTAGTGAGGGAGAAAATTAGCGCTGCTCTTTGTGAACATTGCTTATTTTTTCAATTCGAAAAACAATGAACAGGGGTAATCTAGTGGCATGTAATGCACTATTACTCTCATGGTCCGGGGTTCGCATCCCAGATCGATATACGTCTGTGCTAATCCACCTTTTCATTGCACAATGACCGGTAGGATCTTGTGAGGAGCCTGCCCTTTCAATCTGTTGCAGATTACCGGTTACTTGCAAGAAAAAGAGAAAATCTCCATAATTATTTTCAATTCCGCCCTTCTTTTCTGAAATGATGTAGTGAACTCTATAAGATCCAGATGGGAACCATTTGTGTGTCTCGTCGAATGATTCAGTGGGAAAAATAGCATCTAAATGTATTGTTCCGTTACTCGATTCCTTGCTGGGCTTGACCAGCGTTAAAAAATCAGGTAGGCGTATATAGATTTCAGGATTTTTATAGATTCAGGGGCACTGGCGTGCCGTTCGGACGACTCAAAGGTCGTCCTGGGGTGGCGCGCCAGTAGTCCTGCAGGGAATGGCACAGCACACTGCATGGAGCTAGAGTTGCCACGTGGCAATGGGCTCTAACCGCTATGCGACGATTGCATTATCATTTGCCGTCACTGTCATCGTCGCAGCGGCCTGCCCTTCGTCGTCTTCTGGTGCCACTCGACGTCAGCGCCATCGACGAAGACGACCCCAAGTTCCCGCAGCACCACACTGTTGCCATCTACCGGTGGTGCCATTGCTGGTGAGTATGTCGCAAGCAAGGAACATTGAGACGATTGGTCCGCAGCCATGGATGGACCTTGGAGCAGCAGTGCTGAAGGAGGTTGGGATGATTTAAATGGCCCTGGAAGAGGATTAAAGGCACTGTTAACAAAAACATTGTTTCGGACATTTGCACATAGTTTGAATTCGACGCCCCCTCTGATACCATTTGTGCAGGAATGAGGTCGGAAAACGGCTGAATAGGGCACAATCAGGGGCCGGACAGATATCCACGGTCGGCCTCCGCCCCTTGATCGGTGACACGTTAGACGAGTGTCGACACGACACAATGTCATGTAATCGCTCCAGGACCCACCCTGAATTGCAAATTGGCAAATTGCCAGGGACGCAATGTGTTGCATGCTATTGCAGACAACACATTGCGTCTCTGGCAAGTTGCCAATTTGCCGTCCCTGGCAATTTGCCAACTTGCCCGAACACTCTCTAACCGACGTTCTTTCACCGTGAAACTCGTCCAACCCCCTTTCCAGCTCTTTTTTGGCCCTTTTTAATTCTTTTTGTTCATCGTTTTTT